CCCAGACCCACATCAATTATTCAATCTTTCAGTGCCTTTCCTTGCAAAGAAAGTGCCCTTACAGCAGCCTATCAGTGCTAGTTGCCGGTGAACACTGCAATGTAAGCCTGTGCTTCCCAAGCATCCTGCAGGTGCCATAATGGTGGCATGGGGTTGGTAAATGTCAGATATCAATGTCCGTGGATGAAGGGTGCATGTGGCTGGAGCCACGGATCATGCCCTGATGCTGTTTGGTGCTGAGCAATGTGGAGGCTCCACAAAACCAGTGGCGAGCTGAAATCACCAGGTATTCACTCTGACCTTCATGTCAAGACTTCTCGAAATCTAGCTTGTTTGGTGGATTTGGTAAGATGGAATGCTAAATATTAGTGAGATGCAATGCATTGTTAATAAGACATTTAACAAGCCAAAATCCCCTTAATTGGCAACTCACCACTTGACAAATACATGAAAAATGCAGTGAGTTCTTCCAGATGTCAATGCAGGCCTCAATGGATTTCTCACCTGATTGTGCCACAAATCTCACCTAATCCACATTGCTCAGATTCCTATAAGATTCTGCTCAATTTCCTAACTGTGCTGTTCAGCTGTGATAACATCTGCTGATTTAAGTCACTCGGTTAGTCAAAGAGACATGAAGAAACAGTCAGCAACGTTGACCTGTTTCCCTGTGAAGACATATAGTGGCTCTGACAGGTGAAACAAGTTGAAGGGGCTCACTGCTGCTGGTTTTAGTCTCTGGCACCATGGCTTTCTTGAGCAGGTCTGCTTTTCTCTTTATGAAGTTGCTGACCCTGAATTCTTGCACTGTTTGAGAAGTTGCTGATCCCACTCTCTCTTCATTCTTTACGAAACTACTGAATCCCCTCTCCCTCGTGCTTTATTTTTCATTTCAGAACTATACTTCATTCATAAATTATCTATAAGTAAATATAACAAACACAAAACAGGTCCATACAGAGACAACAAGGTGCAGGGCTGGATGAACACAGCAGGCCAAGCAGCATCATAGGAGCAGAGAGGCTGACGTTTCGGGCCTAGACCCTTCATCAGAAAAGGGGGAGGGGAAGGGGGTTTTGAAATAAATAGGGAGAGAGTGGGAGGCGGATAGAAGAGGGATAGAGGAGAGGATAGGTGGAGAGGAAACAAACAGGTCGAAGAGGCGGGGATGGGGCCAGGAAAGGTGAGTGTAGGTAGGGAGTTAGGAAGGGGATAGGTCAGTCCAGGGAGGACGGACAGGTCAAGGGGGTGGGATGAGGTTGGTCGGTAGGAGATGGAGGTGCAGCTTGGGGTGGGAGGAGGGGATAGGTGGGAGGAAGAACAGGTTAGGGAGGCAGGGACGAGTTGGACTGGTTTTGGGATGCGGTGGGGGGAGGGGAGATTTTGAAACTTGTGAAATCCACATTGATACCATTGGGCTGCAGGGTTCCCAAGCGGAATATGAGTTGCTGTTCCTGCAACCTTCGGGTGGCATCGTTGTGGCACTGCAGGAGGCCCAGGATGGACATGTCGTCTGAGGAATGGGAGGGGGAGTTGAAATGGTTCGCGACTGGGAGGTGCAGTTGTTTGTTGCGAACCGATTTGCAGAAAATACAGTGGAATTTTGACATTATCCATTTGAGCCTCAATCTTGTTGCAACAAAAGGCATTTCCTAATCATGAAAAGAAACTGTTTACATTCCCATTAAGGCAACTATGGTATCCTAAATGTAACAGACCATCAATATATTTTGGCAGAAAGACTGTGGTCTTTCCTACAGAGCCTTGGTGGCAGCTGCCCCAAGCTTCTCAGCACGCAAGCTCCTCAAGGACCTTGGAATGTGCCAGTCTGCAATATTCAATCGAGGTCAACTCTTTGCAGTGGAAGGCCAACAGGTTTTGGGCAGACCATTAGCTTCACCAAGTTAATGGCCGTCCGGGTGCAGTTGACGTTTTTCTAGGTACGCGTCTCTGTGCTCCTGTAGAGCACAGAGTCCTGTGTCACAGAATTGCTCAGGATGAGCCTCTAACAAAACCACTGCGTTTCTCTCCAGACTCGCTCTCGTGCTGTTACTGAAATAGAGGGTCCTCCTCTATATTGATTCTTTTTAGGTGCTGGTTACTGTCTCCAGGTTGTCCTGTCTCCCATTTTATTGTAGGTAGTGGTGACTGTCTTTGGGCCCTCTCTCTTGCTCCTAGGGCACTATAAACTATTCCGACAAGTTACTTGATGTCTTTGCCATTTCATATCCCTCCACAAACAATTCTACATCTTGCTCTTTACAACTAAGGCCAATTCTTATAATGTAATAATACTATCTTTAATTAACAGAGCTATCCCTCTACATTTTTCTAGCTCCCTGTGCTTCTGAAATGTCATGTACTCTTAAATATTCAGTCTCAAATTTTGTCTTCTCTCATCTCTTTATTGATGATTAGTTCATGTATATTTCTTTCTGTTTCAGCTGCCAATTCATCCATTTTGTTACAAATTCTACATGCAGTCAGCTACAGAACAAGTAACCTTTTTACCATCTTTGTGATCTCTGACCTTATCTGCTGGCACCCTCTTAAATTTGTATGCTCTAATTTTCACTGTCCTTTTTGCCACATTGTTATCTTGATTAGTTTTCTCTCCTTAACTTGTTACATATTCCCATACTTGATCTCTCACTCCCACAATTTAATTGGAAGCCCTCTCTACCACAATAGTTATGTGACTTACCCGAACAGTGGCACCACCACTGTTCAGATGAAGACCATCCCGGTGGTACATCTTCCACTTGCCCCATATTGGTGCCACTTCCCAATGAATTATAACCCATTTCTCCCACAATCCTTGAGCCACACATTTAACTCTATAATACTACTTGCCTGTGGCAATTTACTCATTGTTCAAACAATAATCCAGAAATTATTTTCTTTGTAATTTTATTTTTTTTTTGGAAAACATTACTCCTAATTGCTTATACTCCCTAAACAGAACCTCTTTCCTAGTTCTAGCTGTCTTTGGTATCTATATGGACCATAACCATTGGATCCTCCCATCTCTCCACAAGCTTTTCTCCAGCTCAGAAAATATGTTGCAAACCCTCCCACTGAGCAGAAAACACAGCCAGCTAAATGTTCTCTCTTGTTTGCAGAGAACTGTCTCAATCCCCGCTGACTAAACTGTTCTTTACTACTGCTACAGTCCTACTTAGTCCCTCCACTTGAATGTCCTGCTGTACCATGGTGTGATGATCAGTTTGTTAATCTACCCTATGATCCCAACTTTTGTCCATAAAGGTTATAAGCACCTCAAACTGTCACACAATTGCAAAGGCTGAATTTGAATTTTCTCAAACCCCTTACCTTCTTCACTTGCGATCAAGACCCTCTTGTCCCTGACTATTAACTAAATCAGAAGACCCTGCAATAGAGATGTGACCGCCTTCTGGTACCAAGTGTCCACAACATTCACTCTCCTGATGTTTCTGCAGCCTGGTCTCCAGTTCAATGAATCTGAGCCAAAGTTTCTAAACCCACAGATAATTGTTGCAAACATGTTTGCCCTCAAACTCCTGGTGTCCAGGAGTTTTCCCTTTCTGCAGGTGCAATACATCACCTGTCCTTCTGTCTTTAAGTGCTGCTGCTTGTCCCTGGATCCTCCCTTCTCCTATTCTCAGCTGAACCAATTAATCTAGAATTATTTTTCTTATAAACCTGTTTGATTTCTGTAAAGAAGAGTCTGATTCTGTACTCATGCTGTGTCAGCTCCAATGTAAAAACTGGTCATTTAAGTTATGTAATTTCAACATTCCTTAAATTGATCCACTTGTGTTGTTATCTATGTTGTACATGTAGTTGAAGTTACTCTTTTTTATGTAGAAACCAAAGTGCCAGCTAGATGGCTGTGCATAAGGTATTTCTACTTACTTTGTTTACCTTGCCATTACTGACACTACAATTGGTATTTTTATTCATCATGTTCAGATGTGTTATGACTCATCATTGGAACAGATGGAACTTGAACCCAGGTCTTCTGGCTATACTACCACAGCGTCACAAGAACCCCTTTTGGCACTGCAATTGATGCAACAGCATTTGCGAACAGCAGTTGTGGTCCACATGATATCCCAATGATTGCAAGTTACAGCCTTTCATTCCTCTGCATGTAACCTCTACATTCTGCAAAATCTACACATTGTTAGTGAAAATTTCCCAAATTTTATTTAAAATGTGGGGCAGGCATATTATTAGGTGGTGATAAACACACCACCAGAATGCCAAAAAAACTATCCAATCACCCACCAATCAGCTTATGAAGAACTGACAGGCAAGCATGAATGAGATACTCAATGACTCACAGACCTAGACACTGATGATGATGATGATGAAGCTCAACCAGAGGCTGTGCTTCTGAGTCGTCAAGTCTGTCAGTTAAGGCCTACTGTTTGGGGAAGCCAATGGCTACAAGGCAAGTACTTAATATAAGCTTCCAATGAGGGGTCTTGGAGGGGTGTTCGGGGGTCAGAGGCAAAGGCAAGAGTGCTTCCAGAGGCTACCCTTTTGACCGTAATTCATGCCTCAATTGCTTCTTATTGGGGATATTGGAGGTCCCTCCCAAAAACCTGGTTACCATGGTTTTGCAATCTGGAAACGAGCCCCATTTCTCGACTGTGAGGACGAAGGCGATCAGAGAGGTGATTAGTTGAGATCATTAACTGGCCATTTATTGAACACTTAATGGTATTAATTAGTGGCAGGTTGAGGAGGCCAACCCATGGATCCTCTTACCCAGATGTAATTAGTGAGTTGGTGTGAAGAAGCAAGTTTTTCCTCCAAGGCCAACTTATCTGATTATTTTTCCTTTTCACCACCTCCAGAAAGGGGAACATTGTACTCTGTATGCCACTGTATTGAATGTGTAATGTCTGTATTCCATTGCAATCCACTTATGTAGATTCTGCTTTGCCATCTCCATTTGATTATCATTCTAGTTACCCATTTTAAATCAATCTTTACGTTTCCAATTTCAGATACGGATATGGGAAATTTTTCCAAAAAGCCAAAAGTTTTCTGCAGGTCTGAAGGAGCACACATCAACTGTGTCATGTATTAAAATTAAGAAAAATGACCAAGAATGTGTAACAGCAAGTTATGATGGTACCTGCATCATCTGGGATATAATGTAAGTTTTTGCAAATATACTTTTAATTGTGAAATGTATATATCTGTGATGTCACTGCAATATCTAAATTCAGTATTCCTAATTTCAGGCTCCTACCTCATCGGGTTTCCTCTTTAAATCATTGCTGTGTACAGTAACAGTAATTTTCAGGCTCCAGAAAATGAAATAATTAATTCCACTGTTGTGGGCTATGTTTTTGTGCTTTATTTGTTTCAGACATAAAAATAATTGAAATGTTACTTAATTTTATATTTGAATAATTATATAATTTAATCATGTCCCTATCACACAAATATGATTCTTCAATTCCTACAAAAACATTTAGTGAAGTAATAATTTAATATATGAGTATTATCATTAAACATTATAATCTGAAGACTCAGGTAATGTCCTGGGGACCTGGGTTCAATTCCTGCTATGCCAGTTGATCAAATGTGAATTCAATAAGAATCTGGAATTGAGAGTCTAATGATGACCATGGTTGATGAACAGTTGCTGATTGTCAGAAAATCCATCTGGTTCACTGATGTCCTTTACAGAAGGAAACTGCAATTCTTCCTAGTCTGGCCTACATGTAACTCCAGACACACAGGAAGGTGGTTGACTCTTAACTGCTCTCTGGACAATTAAAGATGGGCAATAAATGCTGGCTCAGCCAGTGATGCCCACATCCTATGAATGAATAAAAAAAAGTAATGATTTGATAAATTGACTGCATCCAACTGACTGTCCTGCATTCATTGAATGTTGCTGTCTGAATATTATTAACTTTGGTTTCTACATTCATTTGCAACAAAAACAGTGCAGGAAGCAATTTTGATGCAGCTAGAACATCGACTTCATGCTGCCCGGTTATTTGGTTGATTTTAGTGTCCAGCCACCACAAGCCTTGCTAGATGCATCAGCAAGAGACCAATATGACTAGTTGGCACCAATAAAGCTACTCTGCACTGCTTAAAGCTAATTTTCATCTTTTAAAATAGAAATGTATTGTGGTTGCAACCAGTACTGGCAGTCAAGCTGGAAGTGATTTTGACCTGAGAGAACATTGAAGCATGGTACATACCTCCTTTTGGACATTCTAGAGGTGGAAAGCAGGAGAGGGTTTGTAAGAGAGGGGGAGAGAGACCAAGCAGACTGCCAGCCACATGTTCAGAAAGGATTGGCAAAAGAGACTTGGGAGTCAAACCTCAAAAATCTGGATGCATTACTGCAAGAAATTCAATGGACTTATGTGAGCAGTCAAGGTCAGTGTCTGATACTGGCATGGATAAAGGATTGGCTGACTAGTAGAAGGCAGAGTGTGGGGACAAAGGGGGGTTTTTCAGCCAGTGACTAGTGGAGTTCTGCAGGGGTCAGTGTTGGGACCACAATTATTCACATTATACATTAACGATCTGGATATAGGACCTGATGGCATTGTTGCTAAGTTTGTGTATGCTGCAAAGATAGATGGAGGAAATGTTAATGTTAAGGAAGCGAGGAGGCTGCGAGAAGGACTTTGAAAGGCTTGGAGAATGAGCAAAGAAATGGTAGATGGAATAAAGTGTGGGAAAGTGTGATGTTATGCACTTTGGCAGGAAGAATAGAAGCATGTTATTTTCTAAATGGAGGAAGGCTTCAGAAATCTGAAGTGCAAAGGGACTTTGTAGTTCGAGCTCAGGATTCTCTTAAGGTTAATATGCAGCTTCACTTGGTAGATAGGAAGGCAAATGCAATATTAGCGTTCATTTCAAGAAGGCTAGAATTCAAGAGCAGGGATGTACTGCTGAGGCTGTATAAAGCTCTGGTCAGACTGCATTTGAAACTCTGTGAGCAGTTTTGGGCCCCATTTCTAAGGAAGGATGTGCTGAAGTTGGAGGGGGTCCAGAGGAGGTTTACAAGAATGATCCCTGGAATGAAGGGCTTGTCAAATGGGGAACAGTTGAGGACTCTGGGTCTGTACTCGATGGAGTTTAGAAGGATAAGGGTGGATCCCATTGAAACTTACAAAATACTGAGAGGCCTGGACAGAATGGATGTGGTGAGGATGTTTCCACTCATAGTAAAGACTGATACCGGAGGGCACAGCCTCAGAGTGAAGGGACGACCCTTTAGACTTGAGATGAGGAGGAATTTCTTCAACCAGATGATGGTGGATCTGTGGAACTCATTGCCGTAAAAGGCTGTGGCGGCAAAATCATTGAATATATTTAAGACAGAGACAGATATGTTCTTGATTAGTAAAGGGGTCAAGGGTTACAGGGAGATGACAGCAGAATGGTCTCAAGAAACATATCAGCCGTGATCGAACATGGAGCCAACTCAATGGGCTGAATGGCTTAATTCTGCTACTATATCTTATGGTCTTATGAATCTTCAAATGTCATTTCCTATCAGGTGAACCATGAGCCTCAGCTGCTGCTCAATTTATAGCATTTCCTCGCAACTCTACCACTTAGCTATTTATAATCTCCATCAATCACGACTTTTACGTGTTATTCATATACTCCACCACATATTTTAAAATTTTCACCCTTTAAGCATTGTCTTTCTGCTGGTTGGACAGGGCATTTAAAATCACAACCAGGTTTCTATTGGTCAGGCCCAGGAAACGGAGTTTACTCTACTACATGTTTGTAAGATAAGGCTTAGTTCTGTTTTAACTGAGATTTCAACATGGTGCAAGTGGGTAGTTTTTGAGTGATCTAATATCACACCTAAATTGTCCAGATTTTGTAGATTTATGCATTAATTTACATTTTAGATGTTTAAAAACTTAGCCACTCTTTGGACTTTCAAAATGATTGTTAAAAATTGGCTTCTCACACACTTTTTGACTAGGAGTTCTGGATCTTCCTAACATGTATTGCAGGATTGCACTATTACATACCCTGACTGGAGTTCAGATAATTGCAGTCCAGACAGGAATAGGCCCTTTTGTGATCCTTAAGTGGTCACAATTGACTACTTAAGAGCCTCCATTGGCAACTGGGTGGGAAAGCCAAGCATGGCAGAGGTAGGAGGATGCAGCGTTCTGGAATGCCACCACCTTGGCTTTATTAAGTTGCCTTCCCACCTCCAAAACTCCCCACCTCTAGCACAAGCAGGTTCCACCTTATGTGGCAGCCATGATCTTGAAAAAAGCATTTGAAGGAGTTTCAAGTTGGTGTAGCAGACAAAAATTGCTGAATTACGAGGGCTAAACAGCATTCAGAGAAGAGATGGATGGAGAAAAATGGGAGAAAAGATGGGTCCCCCAGAAGGGTCCCAACCCGAAACGTCAGCTTTCCTGCTCCTCTGATGCTGCCTGGCCTGCAGTATTCCTCCAGCTCCACACTGTGTTATTTCAGACTCCAGCATCAGCAGTTCTTACTACCCTTGTACATGGCTTTCTTTGACTTTACAAAGGCCTCTAACACAGTCAACCAGGAAGCATTGTGGAGTTCCCTTCTTCATTTTGGCTGCACCACAAAGTTTGTCACCATCCTTTGCCTGCTCCACGACGACATGGAAGTCGTAGTAATGACAAATGACTCCATCACTGGACCCATTCCCTGTTTGGATGGGTGTCAAGCAGGGCTGCGTCATCGCCTCAACACTTTTCTTGATCTACCTCATTGCAATGCTTCACCTCACCGCCAATAAGTTCCCCACTAGAGTGGAGCTAACCTACAGGACCAGCGGAAATTATTCAATCTCTACCGCCTTCAAACCAAAACCAAAGTCACCCAACCAGCATCATCAAGCTGCGGTACGTGGATGATGTTTGCGTTTCTGCAAACTCCAGACTATCATCAGCACCTTTACCGAGGCATATGAGAACATGGGTCTCACCCTGAACGTCTGCAAGACGAAGATCCTCCACCAACCTGGCCTGGCATTGTGGGGCAAACCGCTGATCATCAACTTCCACGGGGACGCCTTAGAGAACGTTGGCCACTTCCAATACCTCGGGAGTGTCCTGTCGACCAAAGCAGATATTGATGAAGAGGATGAGCACTGCCTCCAGTGTGCTAGCACAGCCTTCAGCCGCCTGAGGAAAAGGATGTTCAAGGGCAAACATCAGATCCGATACCAAGATCATGAATAACAAAGCTGTGGTGGTTCCAGCCCTCCTATATGACTCTGAAATGTGGGCTGTCTACAGCAGACACCTTCAGGCACTGGAGCAGTACCACCTATGCTGTCTGTGCAAAATCCTGCTAATCCGCTGGGAAGACAGACGTACTGACGCCAGCGTCCTCGACCAGGCCAATATCGCCAGCATTGAGGTACTGAACACCCTTGATCGGCTGCGATAGCTGGGCACGTCCTCCACATGACCGACACATTTCTCCCCATGCAGGTCTCTAGTCCCAGCTCTGAAACAGCAGGCGAGCCCCAGATGGACAGAGGAAATGCTTCAGGGATACCCTTAAAGCCTCACTGGTGAAGTGTGGCATTCCTACCAATACCCGGGAATCACTGGCCCAAGACCGTTCAAAGTGGAGAAGGAGCAAGCAGGAATGCATCAAGCACCTCGAGACTTGCCAACGGAAAAAGTGGAAGCCAGGCAAAAACAGCACGAGAACCATGCTGCCACACCAACGCTCTACCCACCACTGCCCACAACCACCTTTTGCCCCAGGTGTGGCAGAATCTGCGGAAGCTGCATCGGACTCTACAGCTACCTATGGACTCACACTGAGAGTGGAAGAGAGTTATCCTTGTCTGCAAGGGACCACCAGTGAGAAAGAGTAGAGTAAATTCCAAATCATTAAGCCTAGATGGCTGAAAGTATGGCTGCCAATGGTGAGGTGACAGGAGTGAAGAATACACAAGTGGTTATTTTTATGCTAAGTTTAGGGGAGTCAGATTAGGAGAGTCTTAAATAAATGGAAAAACTACAGCTGAGTTAGTAAGAGTAGACAATAAAAGTGATAATGAGATAACTGTGAAATACTGCTTACTTTCTAGTATCTTATTCAGGAATGTAGGAGCCCAGTTAGGTCTCAATGTTGAAATCAAAATTCCTGCCGACGCACTTATCATTTATGATGCTGTATATCTATTTTAGGCCAGTTGTGAGAGACAAATGCCAATACAGTTGGATAATCTGTGCACAGTCCTCAAAGTTAGCTTTTAGCTGTGCATGTAATAGAGGGATAATAACTGCCTTTGAGGAACTTTTGAAAGAAGAGACTGGAAATATTTTGAATTGCATAATCCACTAGTTTTTTAGATTGCTGATATTGAAAGAGTGAACTTGCATTTATATCATACCTTTCATATTCATAGAAGATCCCAAAATACCACACAGCTATTAACTGTACTTACTGGTGTGATATAGGTAAGCATAGGGCTCTTATGGCACAATGGTACTGTTCCTACCTCTGAGCCAGGTGGCCTGAGTTCAAGTCCCACTTGTTTAATAATGTAAAGGATCAAATGTGTTTTGGAATGTAATAAATTTCTGAACCAGTTGATTAGTAGATGTGTCTGTAGATAAACATGACAGACAATAATGTACACATAAACACTCTGCAGACACTAATGTGATGAGTGGTCAGTTAATATGTTTTAATGAGATTGGTCAAAGAATAAATAGCCAGATTTCAGGAGATCTCCCTGCTCTTTTTGCATTGTACCTAGGATCTTTAACACACACTAGAAAAGGCATATAGGCTTCAATTGAATGTTTTATCTGGAAGATAGCATTGCCAACACTGGAATGGAGTGTGGAGTTTCTCTGTAGGCAGTGGTGAGATGCCAACTGAGGAGGATTATTACTTGTTAAATGCTTGTTGATGGCCCAAATTGACTCATTAATATTCAGCTTTCTATCTCACTATCTTCTATCTTTTCTATCTTTCCATGTCACCAAACAAGCTAGACGTCGAGAAGATGTGACATAGAAACCAGAGTGGGTACCTGTCAGATTTAGCTCACTGCTTGCTCTGAACAACCTTCATGTTGCATATGACCAAGCAGCATTTCAGGGTTGAGCACACTTTCCCACACAGTATGTCATGTTGCACCCTGATAACGCCAGATATGTCTCCATCATCATCCACATTGAGTCGCAGCCTGTGCAGCGACTTGGCAGAGGTGCTGCTCTGACTGAGTGACTGCCCAATGTCATCTCGAAGGGAGGGCACTCTGACACCGCACCTATCTTGGACTCACACCAAATGTCACAGGTGAAAGGGTTGCCGGTCTTCTCAGAATATCCACTGAGTGATCAGTTATTCTGGGAACAACACCTGGTAAGGTGGGGCAGAATCAGATATGAGAGACGCCATGGGGCACAGCAGGTAATTAACGCAGTAAGTTTGGTAACATATGGTGAGAGAACTCACTAGGCCTGACAGTGAAAAAACCTCCAAGAACCTTGACAAAACTGGGACTTAAGCAAAAAAGGTTGTGTCCCATGTTTAAATTATGATGCAAATACACATGACAATTTGTGTATATATCTACCCATATCTACCAGCAGATGGTGGTATTGGCTTTATAGTGTGAATTGTATCTAAATTGAATTTCTGGTTTGGAGAAGTCTTGTGCCATGTTGTAAGATTGAATCATTGTACAGATTTTTTCAGTTCTCATGATGATTCATTTGGTAATCACATGTTCCTGTATGAAACTAAATTACATAGATGAGAAGCATTTTCTTTTCAACCTTAAGTTTGTGCTTCTTCTCAAAATTTCACGTGGAGCAGGAGTACTGTAATTGACCCACAATATAACTGGACTACAAATGCAAAATTATATTAAAGGTTTTGTATGTGAAATATTATCTGAAGGTACTTCAGACAGGTTCAGTAAGAGAAATAATGATGAATTAGTAGGGGTGACCACATTTCAAAAATGGTATTAAAAGAAGAGAAGGAGGTAGAAAGATGGGGGATGTATGGATCAAATTTCAGGCCATTAATACTAAATGGGTGAAAGTATGGCTGTCAATGGTGGGATGACATAATTGGGGAATGCACAAGTGATTAGATTGGTGCTAAATTCAGAGAACCAAAATCAGGGGAGCCTTCAGCTAAATGGAAAGACTGCAGTTAAGAGTTATTTAAAAAAAAGACAATAAAAGTGACAATGAAATAATAGTGAATGCTTCTTACTTTCTTGTATCCTGCTCAGGAAAGCATGTCCCCTTGAAATCACAATACTTCGTGGCACCCTTACCATTTATGATGCTTCATTCCATTTCAGAGGTCAGATGTGATAGTGAGGCACAAAGAAGATAAAGCTGTGTGCAATGTCATCAAAGATAGCTTTTACTTATTCATACAAAGAAGGGGTAATAACTATGTCTTTGAGAAATTTAATGAGAAGAGATAGCACGTTTGAAGCTGTGGAGAATTAGTGGCTTGAGATTGTAACATTAAAGGCTGGTTAGATTTGACCCTGTCTAAGAAAAAAATGTAGGACTTGTGAATTTTTTAACAGGTCACCCAGATCAGTTCAAGGCTCAAGGAGTCAGTTATCAGTTGGAGTTAGTTAGGAATAGGGAAGAAGCTCTTTGCAGCTAAAATGCTGCATGTTGGCTACCTCAGTGCAGATAAGGCTTGGAAAAGCTGCTTGATAGTTCTCTGTGTTGGAAAGTTGAGACTCAGGGAAGCCCTAGAGCACTTACCGACTCAATAGGAGTGAAATAGGGATGAAAAAACTGTTGGAGAAGATGGCAGTTCATTGCAGCTGAGAGTGGGGTTGAAGGAGGCCCACAAGCAGTACTTGCTTGGTGCATCTGAGAAAGATTGAGGTGTAGAGAAATTCTGAGGCTGTGGCATTCATTGAAGTTTGGTTTGGTTAAAAACTAAAATTGTGTCTTTCAAGCAGACTAAGTTGAGCAACTTTGTGTGAAGATTTGATTCTCTTGTGAAGGAGGCAGTGTTTTAGTAAGATTTGGTGACCCACTGTGTTACTAATATCTGGGTAAATTGCTAAGAAACCTATGGGATCTAACTTGACCATATCTGCTATTTGATATTTTGTGATGGGGTGTTCAACCACAGTTTGTATGTTAACCCATGTTTACTTCCTGTTGATTCTGAATTACAGGGTATGAGTTATATGTATTGTAGATCATTTTACAATTCTAACTTTGTGCTCATTTTTTTGGTTTAAAAAAAGACATAGAATCCCATGGCTTTATCATGTTAGTAAATGCTTGGGATTTCAAACTTTGTTGACTTTAAACAGACCAAGTTATTCCTCCTGAATCAGATTATAACATAAATTTGGTAGTCTCATTTAGGATCATAACATCTGCAAATGATCATTTTTCAAGGAGTGCACAGTAGAAAGCTTCTATTGAGGCCATGTTCAAAATATGCACCACATGGTGACCAAACAGTCTGCTGACACTCAAAGGTCACACCCTGTCACCAAATTGTGGATAGTGTAGATGACCTGTAACCTAGTATCAGAACCTTTAGGAATAAAGAGAGAAATTGAAGGGGATTGGCCATGGAGCGTTTTCATTCACCTCTGATGAATTGGAAATTTGGCCTTGGCCCTGAAAACTACTGATTTTATTGTTAATCTCTAAATTACATGTTTTGTCTTACAGACGCTATGCAAGAAATCAAATGATTTTGGCAAACACCCTTTTTAAATGTGTTTGTTACCATCCTGAGGAATATCAAATAATAACCAGTGGAAAAGACAGGAAGGTAAGAAGAATTGTACTTGGAGACTTGTTTAATGCTTTAGCAACAGACATATATTATTTAGTCAATAATCAACATGCCTATTTCACTGAAGATTAGTACCATTCTTTTGTTCCCACACAATAAAAATCAAGTTGTATTAAATGTACAATCTATTTTATTTAAAAATAATGTTATTTTGAGGGAGGATTAGGGATAGATTTTGCTAGTGAAAATCTCCAATTTTCTTCAGAGTGGCAAAACTGTAACAACATAGAAGAAGGCCATCTGTCTTGCTTGCGCCATCTCTTTGTAAGAGCGATTCACCTGATGCCTTTTCTGACCTCCTCCCTGTAGCCTTCCACATTCTTTCTTTTTAGATAATGATCCAAGTTCCCTCCTGAATGTCTCAATTGAACATGCCTCCAGCAGACTCTAGGCAACATATTTCAGATCTTAGCCACACCGCTTTTCAAAATTTCACCTCAGAGTCTCTATTGGTTCTTTTGCCAATTGCCTTAATCCTGTGGCCTCTCATTCTCCAGCCTTCCACGAAGAGAGCAGTTTGTCTACTTTGTTCACACCCCTCATGATTTTGAATATATATCAGTCAAATCTCCTTTCATCATTCTCTTCTCAAAAGCAAACAGTCCCAATTTTTCCAAACTATCTACGTAACTGAAGTTTCTCATCCCTTCTCATGAATTTTTCCTGTACTTTTCTAATACTTTCACATAAATTCCTAAATTTTGGCTGTAGAACTTGGTGCAAAACCCCACTTGAAGCCAAATTGGTACTTTACATAAATTTAACATAATCTCCACTTATGCAGACTTCCATATGTAATGATTGTAACAAGGCCAGCCAGGTGGACCTCGTAGAATATGAGTTCCCTGATTGAGGCTGTTAACCTGGTTCCAATCAGGGAACCTTGGCTGACGGATAAGAATAGGAGTGTCATACTATTCACTCTGAGAGCTGGTTCTGAGGAAGCTGTATTAGTGTTAAGGACTTTCCATGTGTGAATATAGGGTGATTTGGTGAGGGGACACCGGCCTCTGTGGAGTTATTTCACTCTGTGCTCCTATAACCTGTGTCCCTAATAATAAACCATATTGTATGTTTGATTAACTTCTCACTCAGCTTGTCCTGCAACTTTCAATGACTAATGCTCATATACATCTTGATCCCTCTGTTCCTGCATCCTCTTTAGAATTATACATTTCATTGTGTATTGCCTCTCTTGGGAAAATACGTCACTTCACATTTCCCTGCTCTGAATTTCATCTACAACTTGGCTGTTCAATCTACTAATTTGTGCATATCTTTTTGAAGTTCTACACCATCTTTCTCATAGATCACAATGCTTTCAAGTTTCATATCATCTGCAAATTTTGAATTCCACTCTGTAGACAAAGGTCTAGTTCAATATCTAGCAGGAAAAGCAAGAATCCCAAAACTGACCCTGGGGAACTCAAGCACAAGTCTTCCTGCGCTCCAAAAAACCTAATTAACTACCAATCTCTGTTCCCTGTCACTCAACCAATTTCACATCCATGTTACTATTGTCTTTTTATTCCAAGAGCTATAACTTTTCCCTCAACTCTGTTGTGTGGCACTTTGTCAGATGCTTCTCGAAGGCCAAGTAAATTGCATCAGAGCATTACCACTATCAACCTTCTCCAATACCTCATTAAAACAGTTTATTGATTTTGTTTCAAAATATTATTTCTCGATGTTTTCCTATCACCCAAGTTGAATTAACTGACCTGTAGCTTCTGGGCTTATTTTCCATCCTGCTTTAAATAAGGGTGTAACATTTACTGTTCTCCAATTTTCTTGTACCATCTTTGTGTCTAGGGAAGGCAGATAAGTTATGGTCAGTCCCAAGAGTCAGGTCTAGTATGTGCTTCCCTTCTCGTTGACCTGGAGACATACAGTCATATAGCATTTCCTCAAAAACATTCAGGAACCCCTGGTCCTCTCTTCAATTTTACATGACTACTGTCCATCCATAGATAACTAAATTTATAGAATCCCTACATTTGGCCCATTGAGTCCACACTGTACCACCAAAGAGCATCCCATCTAGACCCATCCCCTCCCCCCCAATTCCTATGGCTAGTCCACCTAGCCTACACACTCTGGGCAATTTCCCATGGCCAATCCACCTAACCTGCCTGTGGGAGGAAACCGGGCCACCCAGAGGAAACCCACGCAGACATGGGGATGATGTGCAAACTCTACACAAACAGTCATTTGAGGCTGGAATTGAACCTGGGTCCCTGGTGTGCAAGGCAGCAGTGCTAACCACTAAGCCACCCTAAATTATTTCAATCTAGCTACTCACTTAATTTTGTCGCATATTTGTTCTTGTGTACATTTCTCACTGGTTAGTGGCCTATAGACAACACTGAAAATGTAAATTTCCCTTTTTTTTCCCTTAACTCTTGCCAAATTGGTGAACTGTCTTGAGTACAGCAATTCTAACCTTAATAATTACTGTTACATCTACTGCTTTTCTTCTTTTCAATCTTTCTTGAGCACCTTGTATGCAGAAATCCTTAATACCAAGGCCTGCCCTTTTTTGAGTCAAGTCTCTGTTATAGCTACAACATTTCCCCATGAAAGTCTGTATATGTCATTCGCTGAAGCATTCATATACATACACACTGACCTGGATATGAACTTTATGACGTCCTCTTCTGACCTGAATCCATCTAATAATTTGTACTTCTCTTTTAGCTAATTCCTATCAAACATGTAACTTTTTCTGCCTTCAGCACTGCCTATTGTTTTAACCATGCATCTTATTTATCTTTTCTATTTCTAAATAGTCCCCAACCCCAGCAAAATTTGGTTTAAGTCATATTCAAACATTCAAGTGAAGCTCCCTTTGCGGACATTGGTCTCAGTCCAGTCAAGATGTAGCCTATCTGTCCCTTTTGAATAGGTGCCTTTTGCCCCAGACCTTGTCCCAAAGCCCTAAGAATACTGAAACCCTCCCTTCTACACCATCTCCAAACCACATATTCAGCTTCACCACTTTGCTGTTTCTGTTCTTGGTAGCACACGGCACTAGAATTAATCCAGAGATTACTACTTTTAAATTCTTGTTGTTTAACTTCCGTCTTGAAAATCTGACCATAGGACCTCAACACCTGTCCTCTCTATATGCTTGGTACCAAGTGTATTGCAACTTCTAGATCACTCCTACATCCTGCGTATGATACTGTGGTATGTCATTCTCACACCTGCACCATGTGCTAGCAGCTTACGTGGCACACACTGTATGTGCAGCAAGCAAGCAAGCAGCCCTTTCACAAAGTCTTAGGGGAGTAATCCTCACCATGGAGGCACTGGTCAGTCAGGCATCCTGACACAGGGGACAGGTGGTCCATCCTCAGCTTGAACTTCCAACATTTGGACGGGAAGGCAGTGGAGGGCCTGGCCACCTCCGGAGCGTCCTGAGAGGAGACGTCTGAGGCACTTGCATGTGATTTCTCCTCTGACTGGATGCCCCCTGGCACCACCCTTTCTCCTTGAAAGAAAGGGGCACCTGGAGTGCTTTCATCTGTCACCATGCCTTTGGTCATGTGGACCAGTAGCTGGGCCAGTGGAGTGCAGGTCTGTCCATGTAGCCAGAAAATCTTGAAGATTTTGGACTCAGCTTTCCATGGCAGCTGACATCCTAGCAATGGAAACAGCCAGATGATTGTAACCTCATTACATAGCTGCAGTCCTGCACCGTCTAGGTTCTGAGAGCCACTGCCTCCCACGTACCTGACTATTGCATCTTTTCCTCTCCGTGCATGTTGACAAAGTCTCTGATAGCCAACACCACCAGGTTCTCTCATCCCTGGGAGTAAGCGATTCCCTTTGACATATAGGGCAGCTTTGGAATGTCAATGTCCAGGTGTCCAGTGGACTTTTAAAGATGGCATGGACACCATGGATGCCAGTTTTGTTGATAATATCTGATGAGTTATATGTTCCTCTATTAATAGCAGGTGGTAGAATGAGGCTAGAATTGGGTGAAAGAGATGCCAGACGTGGGATCAATAGTTAATGAGGGGGCTTTGGAAAAAGATAGTGAGAGATCTTGCTATAACCTGGAGAGAAAATCCCTTCATGAAACTTGACAAAACTGACACTTAGCCAAAGAAATATAAGATTCAGCCCATGGGCATTGCATTTCTATCGATATGTGAAGGAGTCCTTCACCATGTATGTGAAAAACCTGCTCAAATCTAGTTGTAGTAATTCACCCATCCATTTGACCAGTTTATGTTGTGAAGAACTAGGTATAGACGCAATAGGGTGTTAAGAGAGATCACTTTGTGCTGCTTTGGGCAGCCACATATATGTGAACACAGTCTGACCGTGAAGTTGAACTTTATCGTATATATCACCTGGCAGCTCGTTGTCCACATATGAACCAATCAGCACTCTCCCCTCATACAGTTTAAATGTTGCTTTGGTCCTTTAATGGTACTGTGATAAAAATTTTAACAACATGTCTTGTTTTTCAGCAATACTCAAGTTATACCGAATGTCTATTACTTCTATTATATATAATGTTAAATGTCAAAAATTCAATAGCTGATTATATTTTTCTGATCAATTTTCTCCCATCCTTCCCTCCTCTTAAGACAACGGTCTCAGATATAATTCCATGAGTGTTGCTTTCCTTCTAGTATCTCAGCATTATTAACCTAAAGGCTTGACAATAAGTGTCAGCTAATTTAGCTATACATTATCCTTGCCTAGCAAAAACACACACAAACTTTCAGAAGTGGTGATAAGCAAGAGCCAAGAATTGCTACTATTACCCTGATTGAGATCAGAAAACCCCACAAAAACTTGTGATCAAAACAACAACCTTCCTGTTCTGTTCTTACTGGATAAATGTGTTGTCTTGAACCATTAAAAATAACCTAGAGATAATAAGAACTGCCGATGCTGGAGTCAGAGATAACACAGTATAGAGCTGGAGGAACATAGCAGGCCAGGCAGCATCAGAA